CCAGATAGCTAGATGATTATGATATAGATATAGGTACAGATATCTATACATATTATGTTACTTGCTTGGTAGTTCCCACAAAATATAAATTACTTCATGATACCCCAAGAGTGAACATTGATTCTCTTAAAACGTGATTAATGGATCAATATATTATTACTATGAGTAAATACTATAGAGATAGAAGACTAAGAATACTGTAATGATCTGGAAATATTATTGCTTGGCACCTTCCAGAACAACAATCTTCCCACAAATGAGAGAGTCTTGTCACCCAATCCAGGAAGTAAAATTATGGTCAACCCTCTGCTCCAGTGTAATTTGTGGAAAAGAAAAATATGCACACTGACAATGTTATACAACTCAGCATTTAGGCTTCCATGCTTTTACGTTTTTGCTTCTAATCTCCCTAAAAAGCTTTGGAAGGTTTAACTATTGTATTTATAAAGACAGTGAAAGTCTGTCTTTTCACTGTCAGAGAGTTTAAGCAGTATGGACAGAGACACATGGTTGGTAAGCAGCAGAGCTCCGTCTAGCTCCACAGATTCTTTCACTGGCCTCGGATGACTTGTTTGTGTTAATACACAGAAGACCCTGTTCTCCCATGCTGTCAGACCAAAGTTGATCAAAATCTGATAAAAATGAGTATAGAAGCTTTGGTATTGCTGTTTAGACACCTCTGTAAGACTGGGTATTTGTTTTCCAAAACAAATCCACATACACACAAGCATACACACACATTGTTGATAACCTCATTTCTTTTCTGTTCTTTAGTTGTATTTTCTTTCCTACTACTAATGCAGAAAATAGCAATTGTATCAGATAGAAATATAACCTCTCTGACCCAGAATATGGCGATCACTTGCTTCCTAGGCCATCACAGTAGTGTTGTAACTGCTCTCCTTGTCTTTAGACTGTTCTCTCATATTTTCATTTTCTACACGCTGCCGGACAGTCAGTTCTACACATGTTATTGTCTAGTTCAGAACTTTTACCCATTTTCCTGCCATATGCTTTCTAGATGAGCACTGCTCAGTAGGAATATAATGAAATTCACTTTTAAAATGTGAGAGGAGGGCTAGGGGGTGTTGCTTGGTGGTGGAGCATTGCCTAGCATGTGATAGGCCCTGGGGTTAGTTCACACAACACTGCCCCCACAAATGGAATTATTCTTAATAATTTATATAATCTAATATATCCAAATTTTATATTTTCCACACATGGCAAGAGCCATATTTTTAACGATCAATGGTCAGCTTTGACTTGGGGCTCCTGTAGTCAGTAGCACAATTCTACATCGTTTACTTTTCTTTGTATCACAAATGAGGCTTCACAGATGCTGGTGGTTTCTGTGAGGTTTACAACCTGTTGCATACCCATTTGGCTCAATTTTTAGTCACTTACAATGCACTGGAGATCTTGACTCTCTTTAGGTTTGGAACACAAACCAGTTAGAGGGAACTTAAAAAATAGAATGACAAGGTTTCCCAGGGTCCATTGAGCAGGAAGTGTGTGCAAACACAAGATTCATCAGACTGAGAGGTACCAGCATGCATAATGGGAGGTACGATGAAATAGGAAAGGAGAGAAAAAGCACAAAAGAGTAAAGAAAGAAAAAGTAAGATTAAATCAATATTTTTTCAAAAATTGGTTTTGTCCCATTCCTAATTTGTGTGATTTTAACATCACACAATTAGAAATGATTTCAGAATCCTCACAGAGGTATAGGCTAGGCCAGAGGCCATCATATCAGATACATTTAACAACTAACCTTATAAGGCAAGTAGAATGCATTTCAAAACTGATACGCTCAGTTACTTACCTTCTATACCTATTTTAGTAGACCTTTTAAAATCACCGTTTTGAGGGGCTGGGGATTTAGCTCAGTGGCATAGTGCTTGCCTGGCAAGCACAAGGTTGTGAGTTCTATTCCCTGTACCAGAAAAAAGCCAAAAAAAAAATGGTTTTGAATCTTGCCAAAAAATTACATTGAAGTGATTGAAATTATAATATGATTCTTATCCTTTTCATTAATGTGATGTGTAAGATTTGTTCTTTTGCATGTATTCTTCTCTAGGATGAATCAGTTAATCATACCAAACAACTTATTTTTTTGATATTTATTTGCAGTATAGAGCCTCTTACTGAGCTAAATCTTCTTTCCTCTTAATTTTTTAGTTTGACATAAGATACAACTAAATTGCCCAGACTAACCTCAAACCTCCTGTTACCAACTGGACTATTAAAGCCCCTAGAGATTAAAGGCATCTTTTTCTTTGTTTCTTGCTTGCTTGCTTTCCTTCTTTTCCATTTCTTTTACCTCCCCTGCTTCTCTCTCTCTCTTTTGTCCTTCTCTCCCTCCCTTCATCTTCATTTTCCTCTCCCTATTCTTCCTTTC